CTTCAAATAGCCTTCAACCCCAACTGTTGGTTCTGACAATTGTGCAGAATCAGCTATAATGTTAAATTTTCTTTGGGGCTGAAGCACTGGATGCACTGACTGAAAGCATGACACTAAGCAGAAAGAGATTCACACATTTGTCTACACCTAGCAAATATAGATGCTTCCACAAATTATATCCCCTTATTATACAATGAACAGTGCTGGCTTCAACTTGAAAAACTCAATCTGCAGGGTTACTTTTACTGTACACAAGATAACCCAGAAGTGATTCAGACCATCCATGTATCTGTTTCAGTTAAGACTTACATTGCCACCTGCTAATAAATTCAAGTCTCATAACTACTAACTAGTCTGTGCTCATTTTTCCCAAAAGCGTATTTATCCTCCAGCTGAACACTTTTCCCTAGCTTTATTTCAAGCTAAGCAATAGCCATTCCATGAACTAATTATGATTGTTCTGCACTACAGAGGGAACTGTAATTTTAAGAGCGTCATTATGATGCATTAGCCAACATTTCAAACACACCCACACTATTTTATGCATATACGTTAGGCATTGTTAGACCTAACTAGCTTGCTAAAAGTATTCAAATACTGTTTTCTAAGTTCACAGAAAGGGTAGGCCTAAATAAAAAGGTTTACACATAACTACTCTTTTTCTGGTTCAATCATTCCTCACAAACAATTTAAAATAAATTTAAGTTATGCAAAGGGTTTCATGTATAGTAATAAACAATTTCTTCTTGTATATATTCCAGAATCATAGACCAAAATGGAAAAGGTTCCCCTCAGTCTAAACATTGTATATGTGCAATTTAAAATTGAAAGGTTTTGTATTATGCATTCTATTGTGTTTATAGTGTACATAAAACCCAAATAGCTTCACAACTTTCACCAACTACAAGTCTGCAAGTCTTCTGCCCTAACAAACAACTGTATGCTGTTCAGGTACTAAAAAACAAAATGCAGTAATTACTAATTTAGAAACTGGTGTCTAAATCATAGAAGTGATCTGAATAACTTAACCTTATTTATGCTAAGCTTCTAATAAGGAACACATTGCTGGGTAGTATTCTCACTTTTACAAGATGTGTGCTAAACTTTACAACTGCCAGAAGGTAGGTAAATAAGAGAAGTGGCCCATCTCCCACAGTAATAGATTAGTGAAAAAATCTGTTTAAGGCCATTTTGACTAACTGTTAACAAGCAACACAAAAAGATTATACGGTATCCAAGTGATTCTTTCACAATGCATGGCACATATATAAAAACAAACTTAAAAACAGAATAAAAAATGTTGATTTCCACTATATGCCTTTGAAAAACTGCACAAATAATTTAATGTCATTATAAATTAATACCTTTTAAATAGGTATTTGTGATCATATAAGTTTGTATGTTATTTGTTAAAAGCATTTGCCTCAGGATTTTTTTTCATATTTTGTTACAGACTATTTCAGAATATTTCAAGATACAAAGCTTTTAAGAAATGAATGGATAATTATCTAAAAATACTTTTGGAGACAAAATGTTAAAAGCTGAGAAGGAACACAGTGGAAGCATCTTCAGAAGACAGAGTTGAAGTTAAAATCCTAGACCAGTCATTCTCAACCAGGGTGCTGGGCATCCTGTGGTGCCTGCAGCCAGACCTTTTGAAGGGTGCAATGGGGTGTGAGGAGATAAGCGAGGTGGTATAAAGAGGTATGCAGATAAACTAAACAAATAGGCCCAGGCTCAGGCTTATCCTTCCCTGGACAATCCCATCTCCACTGCCAGCATCTCTACAAGGAAGTAAGCACTGTAATCTTTAACTTTGTTTGTGAAATTGGAGTGCCACTGAATTCATAAAAGTTGTAGAAAGGTGCCTCAAGTCCAAAAAAGTTGAGAACCACTGCCCTAGGCTCTCTACAACAGCAATACAGAACCCCTAGTATATGCTTCCTATAGGTTGCCCTGTAAGTCTGTTGCCTGGCCTATAGGTTGCCCTGACATAGGCCATGCCACAGTGCCACAGAGCTGAAATGCTGAAGTCTTCTCCCACCATGGAATCCCCAAATTGTTCATATTACTGTGCACAGAAGTTCCAAAGTACATCACACTCATAGAATTTGGCAATACAAACATATTTTAGCCATATATTTGTTTTTTTAAGTCAGTTATACTATCACTTAAGTGCCAGGATGGCGCAACGTATTGGGCTTAGGATTCCGTTGATTCTCTTGCAGCAACTGATGAAACCAAAAACATCTTGCGCAAAACAATGAGAAGGTATTTGTGAACTTATCAGCATTTGGAAGGAAACTATAGTTCAGAATCAATGAAGAGTGCAAACACATCAACTGAACCATTCCCAAATGCCATTGGCAACTGGTTCACAATTTTGTGAAGTTCTGTGCCTCCGACACCAGGGTAAGCACCCAGCCAAGCATGCCCTGCAGTGGGCAAGTGGGTGTGGGAGTAGGGGTGGGGAAAGGTTGCTTCCACCCATACTTAGGGGATCCAGCTGGGTGGGTGACCAGTGACTCAGAGTATTTTCACTTTTCTGCTTTCCCTGATTTCCTAAATGAGTTCAATAAACTCCAACAGACAGCAATTCAGAATTGAAGTCTGCTGCAGCGTGGTTGCAAGACTTGGGGAAGAAGGGGAGGGAGTGGTTAAACTCACACTTCACTTCCCAGAAGCTCCTCCCTGCCTCCCTGTGTACCAAGATTTGGCCCTGGGTGGCCTCGAGCCACACCCTCCCATCCCTGAACACTGGGAATGTGCCTTGAGACCCAGCACCACCTCCAAGCTCTAGGATCAGGCACTAAATTCCCCACCACCAAACTTCCATACCCATAGAGAGCCCTGTGAGCTGGATGACAGTGCTCCAGGCTGCATCTGGCCCCTGGGCTGGGGGTTGAGCGCCCCTGAAACAATACCTGATTTTAGAAGTGCACCAATACATCAGACCGATACTGGATCAGTACCAATAAAAATAAAATTGCCTGTATCAGAAATTGGCCCAATGAGGCCAATAATTTGGTTAATAAATGCTCATGTGTGTGCACAGCCACAGAGCAGCATGTAGGCAGGAAGAAATAGAGCCCAGCAGCATGTGGAGATTTGCAGGCAATTGTTAAGTCTGGTGGGGTGGAGGGGGGGGGGGCAGTGGACCCCCCCACCCCCCCCCCTGCGGTGAGGGAGGGGGCAGGGACAGGTGCTGTCCAGCCGGGGCGGGGCACAGGGCAGAGCCTCGGCTCATTTGGGGCGGGGGGAAGGCTCCCGCCACTGCTTGCACCTGGGAGAACACAGGGCGGGGATGTGTACCCCTGGATCTGCGCAGGGCGGGGTGAGCAGGCTGGAGCCAGAGCCAGGCTCAGGAAGGGGGCTATGCAGGAAGCTGCAGCCACCCCAAATTTCGCCGTAGCCCTGCTCCCAGAGATGCCACTACCATGGCACCAGTGCATGCGTGGAGGCAGGGTGCTGAGCTAGGGGTGAGCTGGGGCTGTACCAGGCGTGCAGCAGCACTGCGAGTGAGGCTATGGCAAAATTTGCAGTGGCTGCAGCCCGCTCTGTAGCCCCTGCCCTGAGCCCAGCCCCCGCCAAGAAGAGCTCGGGGCAGTCCTGGCTCCAGCCTGCCCACCTTTCCATGCGCAGATCAGGAGACATATACCCGCATGCTCTCCCGGGGTGCAAGCAGTGGCAGGAGCCACCCCCGCTTGATGAAATGCAGCTCCATCCTGCTCCTTGCCCTAGCTGGGCAGCGCCTGCCCCCTCCCTCACTGCAGGACGCATTGATCTGCCCCCCTCCACTCCCCTTCCACCACAACAGACTTACCAGCTGCACACAGCTGTATCAGAAATCAGATCCGTATAGGCCAATATGCCTCCTTAAAAATCGGCTATTGGTATCAACCCTCAAAACCTCTATTGGTGCACCCCTACTTGATTTTCCAGGTACAATTTTAAACCATTCCAGATTACTTTAAACCTGTTTAAGAGGATTGTAAGTCTGTCCACTTCAGGTTTACCTCAAATCTCAACCATTCTAAGTGTTATGTGTGTCCCTGCCCAAAAAGATTCTAGGGTTCATCCTTAACCCCTGAATTGATTATGATGCACCTTAAGGAGTGGAAAAAGTAACTGGTGCCTCTCAATGTGGAAGGACCCTATTAACATAGCTCTCTTTGCCTGATTTTCTTTTGTAGTACTCTAGTCCCATTCCTTCTTCTAGCAACCCACAGCTATAGAGCAAGTATTAGTTAGCTTGCATGTATCTGGTTTCTATCTTGCCCAAGATCCCCTTTCTACATTTTTCCACATCACTTGCAGGGTATCTCAATTTGAACTCTTCCATAGCTCCATCTACAATTCAACCCAGAGTTCTCTTTCCTTATTCATACAAATTGTACGTATACAATTATATACATGCAACTAACTCTCCCTTTTCATTCCTGATTATTAAAAGTTAAGCTATTGAAATCACTAAGTTTTAAGCCTGCACATATTACTAAAATGTTAATTTTCAGAAGTCATTATTTCTCATCTTCAGATTGTTGAATTACCCTAATAAAACCAATCAACTACACATGAACCTTTTAAAACATGCTAGTACATCAAAATGAGCCAAACTCCTGAGAACAAATGCTCATATCCAATCTCTGCAGAAATTAATGTATAATATGGATCCTTGATAAATGTTCAGCATTTCCCAGGTTTTGTTCATTAAGAAAAAATAATATTAATTTTAGGAGATTTACACTTTTACAACAATTATCTAATTTTATCATATATTTTTATAATTATAACTATATTATTTGAAAATAAACATTTAAAGAGTACTTCAGTGGAAAGGATGACAATAAGGTCTCCGGTTAAGGAAACAATGAATGGGATGATTTCTTGGATTATTAATAAGATCAAAGAAAATCACATCCTGTACCACTTTATCCTCTCAAAAGCCTTTGTGTGGAGGGTATGGAAGAGGGGAAAAAAGCATCAAAGTACTAAGATACCTTTGACCAGTTGATTCTCTTCATAGTTACTTCAGGCTTGTACTTCTTCTTTTCCTTCATTCCATAAGGAAGCGATACTGGAAATCCTGGAGGAGGAGGTATGCCTCCGAGAAGTGGTGGTGGTGGTGGTCCACCTAACAGAGGTGGGGGTGGGGGTGGAGGTACACCCCCTCCAGGCAATGGAGGTGGAGGTGAGATTGCACCAGGTAATGGTGGTGGTGGGGGGGGGGGGGGAGGAGGGGGGGGGGGGATTCCTCCTGGGAAGGATGGTGGAGGAACCCCAGCTGCTGACTGACTAGAATGAAGTCCAGAACCCTGAAATTTAAGAAAAAATAGACTTAATTTTGGGGGGGGAAGGATTAACAGTATCTTGAACTAATCAGGCTATTTTTGCTTTAGATTCATCTCTGTTTCAAGCAACCATACGTATATTCTGCCATTTTCAAACAGGTGCAAGGACTCAAAAAAAAAAAAAAAGAGTGCACAATATCTGCACCAGGTAATTTTTGCTTGTTGTATATATTATCTGTGAAGTTTAAGCATTTCCCACGCATGTAATAAAGTTAATACATTCTCTAGCATATATACCAATGCAATTCCTTCCAATATATATTCTAATTCGTAAAACTCATAAGGTAACATAGCATTTTTACTATCATCTTGGCTATATAAATATTTGCTAGTCGTTCTGATAATTTAGATACTCCAGCACACTAACCAAGATATGAACAGTTACCCTTTTTTTCTTGAGGAAGAAATGTTCCCTAGCTGGATAGTGTTAACAATATCTATAGTAAGTATTTCAAAGTCCCATTGAAAATTCCCAATTTAATTATTTAGCACTTTTAGGTTTTATTTTTCCTAGTTTGTGACTGAAAACAACTTGCCCTGAACCCTATGGCAAGCCAGTAGTAGCATCTTATAAGTCAGAAGAACACAGCTGCCTATAGTCCAGTATTACCAAACTTTTTTCTTTGCACAAATTACATTTCGATATACAGTAAAAACTCTGTTAATCGGCACCTTACAAGCCGGCATGTTCTATTAACCGGCATGCCGGCTTGTAAAGTAAAGTGAAACCAGAAGTGGCATAGCAGGCTGCGTGGGGCCCCCTTTCCCTGTCCCTCAGGGCTTGTGGGGCCTGCGGGAGGGTCAGCAATGTAGCGGGAGGGTCAGCAATGCCACAGGAGGGGTGGTGACGCCCCAGACACGGTGGGAGAAGTGGCAGCCTGAACAGGCAAAAACACCTGTTTGGGCCTCTCAATTAACTGGCATATTTTGTTATCCAGCACCCCGCATTCCCCATGGGTGCTGGATAACAAAGCTTTTATTTTATTGATATTTTTCAAACAACTTTTTCATTCCAACCTATGCAGACGTTTCTTCCCACACTGATCTTAAACATTTATAATCCCAGTAGCTAATAGTAACAACAGCTACAGATAAGCATGAAAACTATTGCGTGGAAATATTTTAGCAAATATTGATTCATCTAATTCAGTTTCGCAACTGAACCTATGGAACCCATTATCACATGGCTCACAAATAACTAGTAAACACTACAAAACACAACCACCAACATTGAATTTCAGTTTGGAAATCTTTCATCAAGACTTAGGACCGGGCTTAATACTGGAATATTTCAATTTGTCAATTACTTAAAGATTTGTAGGGTTTTTTGTTTGTTCATTTGTTTGTTTTAACAACTGTATTATTAAAAGAGATTTTGGACAAGCTTTCAGGCAAAAAGTACTCTTCAGACTATCCTACAAGCTGAAGTCACATGGCCTGGGCTTTTGATCCAAAGTTAAATGTACTTCTGTTCTATCTTACAGGAAAACTGCACGTATACCTTTTGTTAAACATTTTCAATATATTCTAACATCAAACGACTAAATGAACAGACATTTGGAACCAAGAATATAGGTCTATTAATGGAATACTCTCCATAAGTATTTTTTTTCAGGTGGGAATTCATAGAGCTGATAAAAGTAAGCTAATGAGTTAAAATGAATCATTATTATAGGCAGCCTGCCATATTTAAATATTCACTACTCCATGGAATCTTTCATAATAATTTAGCTACAGACTAATAATCAGAGTGAAAATTTTGTTCCTGGGTCTGATTAATAATTTCACTTTTGCACAGCTATAAGTCTGAAATTGGGTATACTAAAGCCTCCACCAACTCCAAGACAAAAGATTTAACATGATTGTCTGGTATGGGTTTGGAGAAAACTACTCTATATTTTAAATTTACCTAGGTCATTTTTTTAATCACAATTTTCCATTTTAATTCATTTATACCATTTCATTTTACATTAAATAATTTTGCTAAGATAGGCGTGGGCAAAATACGGCCCGCGGGCCGAATCCACCAAGCACTTCCCTCTGGCCTGCGCAGCTCCTTCAAAACTCAAGTAATGGCAGGGGGCCCTCCAAGCCGGCTGCAGCACCTCAGGCTGTTTCCTTGGGTTCTGGTTCTGAGGCAACCAACCCTGACCTCAGCCTGCCCCACCTGGCCTCGCCCCGCCCCTGGCTCAGGCCAGGTTTGCAGCTTGTGAGGGGCAGGGGGGGCTGGGCCAGAACCTGTGGCGCCGGTGAGGGGAAACAGTGTCTAGGCCGGGGTCTGCTTTGCTGTACGGGGCTGGAAAAGG